AATTGGGGACCCCAGAAGGACCTCTGTTGAGGAAGTTCTCAGCCATATCTGGAGCCAGCCAAAGGCCTCTCCAAGATGAATAGCAAAATAGAATTCAAGAACAACAGAATTCAGGAAGAAGCAAGTAGATGTACCTGCTGCTACTGATGTGTCAAGGACTTTTAACAGCCATACCAAGAAGGTAGTGACTTTGAAAAGTCAGTAGAGTGGGGCTGCACAGCAAGGCCATCCAGAACTGAAGCCTTCTCTTTTTCTGAAAAAGCTATGAGCATATATTTCCTGCATATTTCTTCCTCATAAACTGACTGGGTTGTCCATTCCAAGAGGGAGGGTACATGTAATTTATTAAGAAGGTGGCCAGGTACTTATTTACAATGACTGTGCTGAAGGAGCAGATAGTTTAAGATAAAGGAAATGAAAAGCTCTCTAAGTGTGTTGGCAAAGAAAAATGCTCAGAGAATGTTGAATTAAACACTTCAGGGCATGCAAGGCTTAAAGATAAGCCAAGAACTTTGGCTGTGGACATACAGAAAAGTGTTTTCATGGCTCCTTCTAAGCGAATGGGAAGGAAAGGCTAATTGGTTTGAAAGGAACAGCTCATTGACCTTTTCCCTTGGTTCAAATTTGAGCAGTACCTGTTCTGGGGATGAGTGTCAAGTGCTTGAGTGCTTCCTGAATTCTCTAGTGGAAAAGAAGAGGTTGGTGTCAATGCATCCGGGAAGTGTTGGTGTTTAAGAAATTTCAGGATGGTGCCTGGTTAGATCACAACAGATGACACTTGGCCCATTTCTTAACACAACATTTTCAAAATCACCCTCATGAGGAAGACAGTTTAGAAGGAAATCACAGGGGAGTGGAAAATTCAAAAAAGAGGTTTAATTATTGGAAACAGTGAGAAAAATGAATGATGGGAGCTATTACTAGGTCTGTTCTCCCTAGTGGTGAGTGATAAGACAAGGAGAAATGGCCTTAAGTTGCACCAGGCAAGGTTCAAGTTGGATATTAGAAAGAATTTCTTTACTGAAAGAGTTGTCAGGCTTTGGAACAGTCTGTCCAGGGAGGGGGTTGAGTCGTCATCCCTGGAGGTGTTTAAGAGACAGGTGGATGTTGTGCTGAGGGACATGGTTTAGTGGTTAGGACAAAGGTTGGACTTGATGAACTTGAAGGTCTCTTCAAACTGAAAGTGTTCCATGGTTCTATGATTCTATACTAGAGAGTTGAGTAACACTGAAATGAGATTCTGATCTTTATAGACTTTCCCAGTGTTTTCTAAAGGTTTTGTTTGTTGGGTTGTTGTTTTGGAGGAAGAGTTGGACGGTTCATAAGGTTCATATCTCATGATCATAAAAACAACAGGAAACTGAAAGGACTTGGTTCTCCTAAATGGACTTTAGAGAGAGGGAGAAAGCGTTTACACCTGGAAGTTGGAAGCAAAGTAAAGACCAAAAGAGGGTGTCCTGATAGATGTTATCACACTGCAGGGTCTGCAAGTGAGCTAGGAAGAGGGCTGGTCTTAACCATGTTTAATAGCAGAAGCATCGGTCATGGAGAGATGTTTTGAGATTCTTCAGCTGAAAGTCAAGTGACTACGCACTCCCCCATGAAATGCCAAATTTGCATTACACTGTCTCAGCGCCTGATGACGCCTTGAGAACAAGACTCTTGCTGGAGATTGTCTTTTGCAGATTAAACTTTCCAGACTGTTACATAGATCAAAGCGAGGTGTGACTGTTTCCCTGCTGTATTGAGAAGGGAGCAGTGTGAAAGCAATTAAAAGTATTTCTACATTTACTTTTTTTTTAATCTTAGATGATCTTCCCAGCAACGGAAGCGAATAGTTGAGGGCACCAACCTATAAACTCCTCTTCCTATGACTGGTGTTTTCATTCTACCACGATAGTAACCACCAAAAAAACATAGAGGCAGGCATGAGTTTGACTGTCACATAAATTAAAGTTCATGAGACTGGAATGTTAAAGCTTCATCCAGGTCCTAATGAAATAGCTTCAGAAAGTCCTCCTGGCTTCACAACACGACGGATGAAGCCTACAGCAGTTTGATTCTATCTCAGTTGATACTTTGTCTTTGGTGAGAACTGCACGGGGCACTTTTGAAAGTTTTGAGAAAGTTGCTGGTGACTCTAGTTGATCTGGGAACAAACTATATAGACGTTTCCACCAAAGTTAACTCTGGACACTGCAAGTAGCCATCCTGTTCTCCTTATATAGAGAATGACTGGATTATTCCCTGAAAGATGAGTCAGAGCAACAAAACTAATGCTCTCCTCTGAAGGATTCATTGCAGACATCTGTTTCTAGTCATTGTTTATAGAGATAAAGACCACCCAGCTCCCGAGCCTAAAGTTAGCATCTGCGAACACCTCCTAGCTCCCAGCCCTCAGCGGATTGAATGGCTTGAGATCTGGAGATGTGGCACACTAAGGCTCCTCATTCCCAACAAGACCACAAGGGTAACACACTCAACAAGTCCTCTGAAGCCTGAAGCAGTGTTTGGGAAGGTGTCTTTAGTCCAGAAACTGTTTTGTATATAACTTAATGAGACAAAAATGTACACAGTGCAGTCAAAGTGAAAACACCCTTTGGCTTGGCATGGGCTCCATCGCACAGGTGCTTTTCTGCTACTAATTTTTCCCTGAATTAATCTAAAGCTCAAGAAAACCCACATCAAGCCACTTTGATAGGAAAAGCAAGTTAACCTGGTCCTTTCCTTGGTCTTCTCCTGTGGGTTCCTGCAGGATCCTGCAGGAACTTGCCTCCTTGCTACAGCTGAGCTCTTTGCATGGGCTTCAACACAACACTTAGCTTTCCTGGGTGGGACTTTTTCAAGCAACTTAGCCATCCCAATTGTTAGGTATCATGGCGTGACTCATCTGGAGACTTCTACGGTTCAGGCATATCCCACTCAGCAAGTCACCCAGGCTGTCTTGATAGTCTAGCCAATACAGTCAACGGAGGTAAGGCCATGATTCACCAAAGCAGACATCTAAAAAAGTGAGGCAGATGAATAGTGCCCTAGAAGTGCCTGTTTCTCTCCACTGACTGATTACAAAAGCAGGCTGGGGTGAGTTGATCAGCTGGAGATGTCCATGTTGCAGATATCAGAAGGTAGGTGAGGCAAACAGAGTTCCTGGTCAATGTGAGCTGCCTTTCTCTTCTTTTAATGCAGTGGAAGTAGAGATACATTTCTGGAGGACAGTTCATGCTTTGTGTCTCACCTTCCCTCCCTGGTGTAGGAAGCGTTCAGTGAGATTAATCTTCTCCCAAAAGTGCAGCTGAGGTGGAAAGAGGCACCTAAGTTTAGGAAATCATCTGAGATTTCTTTACTTTCCCGGGCACTTCCTACTTTGTCCACCTAAAGTTCTTTCATTGGAGGGTGCTCTTGGCTGAGCTGATTATCTTGTTTCTAGACTCCTACCTAGGATCATTTGGGATCCAGAAATGGATGACCCTATCTCTCACTTGCCTGGGAAGGACTGATTTGTAAAGCCTAGTCTATGCACAGCTAGCAAAGCCATTGAAACGTGGTACCTGACTACCTGAATGTCCACCTCCTTCTCACTTCTGACCCCTCTAGATCAGGAAGGGAGCTAACTGGCTGTGAGGACCCTTTTCCCGTAAAAAGGACAGAAAATTTAAAACATTCTTTATCCCAGCGTAGAGAAGTGCTGAAGTCAAGCTATTTTTCTTGTGAATTCCAGCAGTGACAGAATTCTTGTACTTTTTCTTTTTTTTCAGTCAGAGCAAAAAAGAGTGAAGGTGTATTCCCTGACTGCCCTTTTGATAATTCAAACACTGAACCAGGCTGTTCCCAAATGAAAACCACATCTCAAAAACGGATGTAAACAGAAATGCACACTGCCCAGACAGGTTCCTGTTTGTCATTAATTCTGAGCAGAAAAGTCAATCAAGAGGTTTAATTAGAAGAAAATTAAATTATACCCTAAAAATCCCTTCAGTTTTAGCAGTCAAGTTTATTATTAGAAGCACCAGTGAAAACACTTTAAAAAATCTGTTTAATTAGCTACGTATCTGCTGATCTCTCTGCTGACTTGTTTGTCTCTGAGGCTTCAACCAACACAGTGGTTCATGGACACTCCTTTCAACAGACTTGATTTGGCTGAGCACAGAAATTGCATTAAAGTTTTGTTGGTTTTAAAATTTTTTTATTTTATTTTATTTCACTCTCCTCACTTTAACCAAAGCAATTCACAGATGAACAGTCAAAGCAGGCTCTCCACGTCCTTGTGTCAGTACAGCAAAGCAGCCATTTAAACAATTTGTGCTTTAAAAGCACTTTAGCCTGATGAAAAAACCCACAGCATAAAGCTTTGCAAAGCACATGCTTACATTAAGCAGCTGCAGAAATGCTTTGCTAAACCATAAAAGAATCTTTTCTAGACCACACTTTCAGGGCTGTCACCAGTATGCCAGGCATGGCTCCCACTTTTTGTGCACCTATACATGAATATTTCTAGTAACATGAGTACTGCTGTTCCCACGGGACAATAACTTTGATATTGGACCATACTAAGCCATAGAAGAGTTTTTTCCCCAAATTGTTTCTTTCCTAGCAGGGCTACATTTCTATCCCTTTTCCCCTATAATGCAGGGAATTGAACTGCTTCTGATAGTGAGTTTGTGTAGCACCCCTTCAGCACTTAGCTCAGAATCGGTTCAAATATATAGAGCATATAGCTAAATTACACGTGAGTTGCCAATTTTTGGTGTTTCCCTCCCAAAGACTTGGAGTATGATGTCTTCTACAGTTGGTTTTATTACTTTGTGTAACTCTGAAAGTGCTTTTGACTGTCTAATCCCTCAGCTGCCAAAGTTTCCTATAAAACCTACCTGCTCTTATATAGGTGTGTCTGGCTTCTGAAGAAAGAAATGCGGGTTTGACCCTCTGGAAACTAAATGTGTGAGTGGAGGATTCTTTAGAAGAAGCACAATGATGGATTAAAGCTTTTAGAGAAGGAAGAAAAAGGAAGGAAGATATTAAACAGAGTTTTTTGCCTTGTTGGGCCTGTAGGGAGCTTAAGGAGAGAGGATGGATGACAGTGGAAAAGGTGTTTTCCAAAAAGGGAATGCAGAGGAACGGATGTTGATCTTCTGTCCCCATTCTTGTGAACCAAGTACAAAGGTGAAAGGCAGCCTGACCACATCTCTTTTTCCTTGTTTTTTTTTTTTTTTTTCTTCTCAGGTCCTTGGCAATTGGTCACCAGTATTCCTCCCTGGGGACTCAGCCCATCCTCTGCGGGAGCATCCCGGGATTGGTACCCAAGCAGCTACGCTTCTGTCGGAACTACGTGGAGATCATGCCCAGCGTAGCGGAAGGAGTAAAGATTGGGATCCAGGAATGCCAACACCAATTTCGCGGGAGGAGGTGGAACTGCACAACCGTCAATGACAGCTTAGCCATCTTTGGGCCCGTGTTAGATAAAGGTGAGTGCAGTGCTGCGGGTTTGATGACAGCAACATCCATGGTGGAGTAGCAGTAGAGATCTTGAGAAACCTACTGTGAACTCATTTGCTTCTGATAAAGTGTGATGTAAAGTGGGCTGCTGGCGACAGGTCTTGAGCTTGATAAAGGAGACACGTGACACAGGCAGGGAACATTTTGTTGACTCAGCAAGTTCATTCAAGCAGTTCAAATCTGACCCAGAACTCTTCTGTAGAGACAAGATAATGAAACTTTGTCATAGGGAAAGCAAGTACGTGTGTGCCTCCCCAATGTAAGGAGGATGGTTACCCACCTCCTCGATTGTACAGCCAACACCCAGTCACAGGTAACCACTGCTTCTACCTCAAACCTCTACTGGGATTGTACAGGTGACCTAGAGAACTTGGAAGTGCCCCATTTGACAGCGTGCAGAGAGGGAGGTCACCTCTGACCCTGCTTTGAGAAGGTTGGACTTCAGACCCCCCAGGGTCCCTCTTGACGTGAAACATCTTATGATCCTCTGCTCCTTGGAAGCAACACAAAGGATTATTTTGTTTTCAGTAGACAAGCTTGGCATTTGACTCCTTTTCTGAAACCATGGCATTTCATGCCACATTTTCAGCCATCTTGATGGGGAGATGATGGGCGAGGATGGTTCCCAGGTGCTTATCTCAACAGATAACAATTTTGATATCATATATGATATCAATTTTGATATCATAATGGAATAAAATGAAGACCAAAGGCCTGAGGAAATCACCATCAGTTAATGGTGCTGCTTTAATTGGCTAGGAACTTGGCAAATTAAGATAGGGTGCTAATCTAAGCAACTAATTCTGACACAGCACCCAGGGATATAAGTGGAAGCTCTTAGAAATGCTTTGCCCTAAGTTGTTGATTGCAGTGTGATTTAAGCATTTGGCTCAATCTGAATATTTGGTCTTTTTCCCTACAATTTGGCAGGAGCCTATTTTAGCCGTAAGAACTGTTTTATCTTTCTTTGCCCTTGTAGCATGCCTTTTAAAGTCCAGACTGGTCCTGATGGTCTCAGTAAAGCTAGATCAAGCTCCTCTGCTTTTTTGCTTTAGCACAAGGGGGTTCGTCCAAGAAACAGACTCACTTTGCATTTGACTCCTGCCGAGATGGTAAATCCATGTGCTCTGTGCAGAGCTGTGCTGAAACATGGCTGCTTTCTCTTAGGAGAACATCAGCAGAAGGGGCTTGGAAACCCTCTTCTCTTTCTTCTTTCTTGGTTTTGCAAAAAAGCAACAGTTGCAGGTTCTTGACGGTCTGAGAGTTGAAATTACTTCATTTGAAATAGTGGAGTAGCACCATTTGACCTCATATGAGAGAGGAGGAAGCATCTGGGATAGTTCTGGGGAATCTCCTAAGTTGGTGTCCGTAGCTGATCCACACCCACATCAGGGCATGTTCTTCCAGCTTGTCATCTGGATGGTTTTTCTTGCTCTTCCCCTGCTGCATTACTCAGAAGAGACTCAGGCGTTCCCTCTTGCATGAATTTTGAAAAATAGGGCAGCCAAGAGAGAGCAAAGCCTTGATTTTTACCATGGCAGACCCTCCACCAGCCCAACACAGACGTTTTACAGATGCACAGCAGGAGAACGGATGGTTTCAGCTGGTGAGCTTATCCCTTCAGAGCTGGGGAGCTGAGGCACCTTGGTAGTGCTGACGTTGCTCTTTGGGTTCAGTGGTGAGGGATCATCCCAAAATAATTACCTCTGTGAGATGTGCAGCATGGTGCACATATTAAAAGTGTCATACCACAATGTTTTGCATGCAGTTAGAGCACCGGTTCTGGCTACATCACTCCTGGGTGACTACAGCAGATGAATTAGGCCAGCATGGCCAAACCAAATATTCTTCTCATACACACAATCCCAACGTGACTTGTCCAAGACCATTCACTGGGCACAGGCAGTTAGTGAACCGAGTAACCCCGTGTCTTTGCCTTATCACAAGGCTGGATGTCATCAAGGCCATGTGGGGGACCTTTTTCTCCTGAATGCTCTTGGATTAGACGCTCCTGTGGCAATCACAGACCTGCATGAGGAAAGCGACCCTCACCTCCTTGCTGACCGAAGGAACCCCTATCCCACAATGTGGCAAACACTCTTATGTCACAATGGTGTCGACACATGAAGGGTCTGTCCCTGCTTGGGAATGCAGGCTTTTGGTAGCTGGGCTCAGGGAGGGAAAGAAGGCTGGGACTATTTCATAACTGAAGAATGTTGTTCCTTGAGGGAGAATCAAACCACCCTTCAGTTTTGCTTCACCTACAGCAGGAGGGGGGAGAAAAAGAAAAAAAATAGCTCAGTCACATTCTTGTGCAGCAGATCCCCCAGGGTAGGAACATATTTGAGCTCCTACCCAGAAAGAGAGAAGGAGAAAAGGAGAGAAAGCAAGGAAGCAAGCAAAACTCTGTTCTGCAGCTTGGATTTTAAGTCTAAGATCCAACTGCAGCTACTCATTTGAGTCTGTAGGGACCCCATCCTCCCCCAGCGCAAACCAGCACGGTCACAAAAGTGACTCCTTTTTGCCTTACATGACTGTCTGCATTTCTTTCATTGAAAAGGATGGATTTTAATGCTTTGAGGAAATATTTTCTAGGCCCAAATATCACTGAGGCTGTTCCACTGTCTGGGCTGCCCTTGCTGCTTTGGCATCTCATTGTTAATTCAGGGCTAAGCTCGAGCTGTGTGATTCAGTAGTGCCAAACTGTCACCAGACTCTGGTCCTGTTAAGAGCCATATTCTGTTATCTTGTCTAAAAAAAAAAAATAGCCTGTTTATGGAAAGAAATTCCACATGTTTTAGTTGCAACTATATTTATGTTTGCTTTTTTTTGTCATTTCCCTACCTGGACTTAATATTGAATAGCAATGTTATTCATGAGATCAGCTACAAAGGAATGGTGCTGTTCAGGCAATCCAGACCTGCTGCTATTTGAAGGCAATATTTGACAGGTTTTGCCTCATGTCCCTCAGGACACATGAAGAGCAGAAATCCCCCATCCCATCTGGCTGTTTAGTTACTATTTCTCAGGTCTTTGGCTGCAGAATAAGTCATAGAATGTTTGGGTTGGAAGGGACCTTTAAAGGTCATCTAGTCCAAACCATCTTTAGCTAGACCAGGTTGCTCACAGCCCCATTCAACCTGACCTTGGATGTTTCCAGGGTTGGGGCTTCTGCTCTGGGCAGCCTGTGCCAGTGTTTCATCATCCTCATTGTAAAAGATATCTTCCTTAGTTTAAATTTACCCTTTCTTAGGGAACGTGATGTTGTGCTACCCTCATGGGGAATGATTCAGGCCTTAGGAGAAGGTGGAATTGCTACAGGGCTGTTGGAAGAGTGTTTTTCTCCTCCTTTGTGGCCTCAGGAGCATATGAGCAGCTGTGCAGCTCCCTGGAGAAACATTCAGATAGGTGCCACTTTTGGGTCTCTCTTGAAAAGCAATAGGAAACAGGTATCTCATGTACCCCAGACTACTGGGAATTTAAAGAACAAAATGCTGACATAGGAAACATGAGCCTGATCTCTTTTTCTCTACCCAACCCTACCTAACTTCTTGTCATTCCCATATAAATGGCTACAGTTCATGTAATGTCTAGTCTCCCAGATGTTCCAATCTCAACCACCACACAGTGGAAAGAACTTTTCGAATAGCGTTATTTCTAGAAGAAAGAAATTGTTCTCCTTTGTTTTCTTTACCTGTATTGTGTGATGCAGTGGAGCAGCAGAACATGGCCAAAGCCACACGACCTTTAGTGATCACCTCAGCCACAGCTCGTGCCCAGCCTCTTACCTGAGAGGTTTGGCAGTTTGTAAGGCAGTTGATGTGTCTTTCAGGTTCCCAAGGGCAACAGAAGATTTTTTAAGTTGCTTTTAAAAATATACAGGATAAGTCTCTAGAGGGTGTAGTAGAGGTACATGACATCGTCGAAAACAGAAAGTGAATGGCGCAACCTAACAGGCATTTGCCATCTCAAACTTAAGTGTCATATATAGGGAATTGTCCTTCACCCTGGTTTTAGCTTTCGTGGACTGAAGATGCTGTTCATGTTTAGCTCTGGTGGATTTTATAGTCTCTCAACTCCTGTCTCTTTAAAGGACCTCAGTACATAATTAAGTCAAAATAAAAATTTCCTCCCTCTCCTCTCCTTGTTCAATAAAAGTAAATTACCTCAAACTATTTAAGCCCCCAGTTAGTTTAAATTTAAAAAGGCAGCCCTTGTTTATCTATTTCTTTCACTCACTCCCACCTCCTTCTGCTAAAGGCTGGCTGGGGCTTTAAACCTGCCAGCTGGGCTGAGAAATGGTTAATAGTTATTGTGGAGGAGCAGCTTTTAATGAACTATTGAAGAATGATACATTGATGGAGTAATGGGAGTTTAAGTCGCTCTGTAATGAAACAGGTTCTCAGCGCGGACCCATTGTGGTGTAAATACGGCACGGCTCTCCCACTGTTTGGTCAGGACTAAATAGCAGAGGCCAGAGGGGGGTCAGCTTATGGGGACTCCGCTTTAGTTAATCAATCTGATTGGATTAGGGTCACTGCGATCCCTAATAATGTCAAAGGTTACGCCAAACTGGATTAAATGCTTTGTAGGGGAGGGCTCGGATTCTTTCAGCTTTCGCCGATGGGGCTTGTTTATTAGAGTTTAACACTCCTGCAACCTTGGGAAGCCGCACCGACCCTTTTTTTGTACGTCGGGGCGTTTGCCGGCGCGCGAGGGGGTTTGAACGAGCCGGGGCGGGTGCACGCACGTCCCATTGCTTTGTCAAGTGTCTGCGCCCGTCGGATGTGTCCTCGGAGGACATATATCAATTTCCTCACTGGACAAATGAGAGCCTAATGGGTGATGTGGAGGCTCGGAGGCATAAATTCATTCCGGAAATAATTGTTGGCCGTCACTGCTGCTAGAAGGCAAATGACAAGAGTCACAAAGGTGGTGGAGTGACCCAGTGTTTGTGCCCCCTTGGGTT